CCAGACGTAGAACTACTAAGTTTGGATCATAAGCAACTCGAGTTCCAACACACAAGAAAGCTGCTTATCTCCATGTTCTCAATGAGATGAGGCAGCTTCTAACTCATTTTCCTTTCCAGCAAACAGCTACGCTGCAAAAAACAGAGTCTTTAAAACCTGGACTTGTGTGCTGGACATACTGTGAAGCCTACCACTTAAACGGGTATATTCGTGACCGTTTTGTAAGGATTCCTAAAGCACAGGAGAGAAGCACAGCAAAAGAAAACAAATCGCCACCTTCTTGAGTTGCAAAGGTTTGCAACCCCTGGAGTAGGATTAAGGATTCATTTCTACAACAATTAAATAGGTAAGCACCACAGGACGCAACAAGAAATGTTATTTCTTGGTTGTCTCAATGAGGTAGAAAAAAACCCACAAGTTATAAACTGAAAAGAAAGCACATTTCAGTACTTAGTGCCAGTTTTCCTGAAAAGCTCTTCTCTTGACCCAATGAAGAATCACTTGCACTACTGTGTAGTGACATCTGTGTCCGACACGATCAAGCTGACCTGTGTTTCTACACTTGCTTTGGCGGGAGAGAGGGCAGTAGGATAAGCCATTAAATAACTTCCTATTTTGATTAACTATGCTTTAGATTCTTAGAACTAGAGTATTGAGAGCATCTTACTTCTGGAATAGAAATATGACAGTTAAGTTTCCCACCAAGGTGTAGAAGTTTGCCTATGCAAAAAAATGTAAGACTCATCTTGAATTTGCCCTCATCCAGCCCAACCCATGTGGTCTGCCATTCCATTTCTGTATCAGGCCACAGTCATCCATCCAGTCAGGAGCCTTATTTTCAAATCAGGCTTCTTCCGACGTTCACTCTGCTGAGTTATTTCTACTTGCAGGCAACAGAGAAGACAGCAGAGAAGGAGGTAAGGAAGGACTAGTCATCAAGGAACTGCTGCATTTCTATGGGTGGGTATCATCTCCAGGCACGTGCAAGTTTTAAACTTGCTTCATAAAGATCAACCTCATATTAAGAAGTTTGGCACTTTCCACATTTGGGCTAGACTACTAAGCAGGGGTTGAAGTTTCACTCTAGAAAAGAATGAGCAAGCAAAGACATTGAAGATGACGTCTGCAACAGAAAGGACATAATCTAACTGCTATAATGTTAAGCTAAAAAATTTAGTAGAAACAGAAGGTGCTGCTAAAGCGCAGATAATTCAAATGTTTATTTAGTCTTTTTTCTCAAGTAACTGAGCTATCTTCCACGTTTAGAGCATTTAAATCAAGATTTTTAAATTTGATTTACAGTACAAATTCTTCATTAGTTCATGGTTAAGTCTGTAAATGACCTTATAAACAAAAACATATACACAGAAGTAACACACAATCACTAATGAAGTATTTTGGTATGGTTGTATAAAAGAAATGAAGAACAAAATTAAAGGCAGACAGCCTTTAAAAGACCCGAAAACATTTGTTTTCCTGCATTCCATACCTGAATCTTAAACTGCACTTTGATCATTTGTCTAATCTGCATGCAGAACAGTATTTAATAGTCTTTCAACAGCATCTTATCCTTCAGCTTATTAGTAAGTAATAAATGGGCATATGATGTACTTTTTCTGCAAAGGCAAAATTGATTACAATTGATATAACATGTAAACCTCAAGAAGTACAAGAGATGAGCATTTGAAGTACAGTGCTCCTTAAAAGAATGACAGAGATGACAAAGCATCCCTACCTGCTAGCAATTACCTAGCAGTAACTAAAGACTGTCTTTTTCTTAGTATAAAATACAGATCCTTAAAAAAAAGGAAATTGGTATGGGAAACCCTATTTTATCAAGCTTTACTTTTCAGTAAATGCAAAGTTAAAGTTCACAATTCTGCATTTGAAAAGATCTGGAAGCTGTGTTCCTCCTACTGCTCTGCAAGCCTTCCAGATGCCAACTCACCCCTTCTTTCAAGAGGTGGCCTTGCGTCCCTTGCTGTTTCTTGCTGGTGTGACTGACCTGCATCAGACTGTGGACTCCACAGAGTGTGACACACTGACTTCAGCAAGATTTCCCATCTCATACTGTTATGGAGTTTGAGCTGTATTTCACTGGGCTTCACGGGTTTTCTCCCTGTGGAATCTGCTAGGATTCTAGTTTAAACATCACTTTTAGACAAAAGCTCAAGCTGTTGGTGCATTTCCAGCGGATCCGATGGAAATATCTTTACCACCCCTTTTCTTTGCAGTTCAAGTAGAAACATTCTACTTCCTCCCACCTTTCTTCATAGCAGGTTTCAAGCAGTCGATCTACACTTACCACACATCCCATTTAAATTTACTACAAAGCCAGATCTGTCCTCCAATAGCAAGCAAATTCCTAGAGAGCATTAGAAGGTGAAATCCATTTATGATCACTGCACTGAAAACAGTGGAAAGGAAATATCATTTACAGTTCCTTCCCTAAACCCACAGGGGGTGGGGAGCAGCACAGGAAAAGGACAAACTGCTGAGGCTTAGTATTTTCTTTAGCTGTCATTTCCAACTGCCTTAAAATTTACAGTTTTAACTTTCCCTAAACGCCCCAGTGTTTGCTCCAGCATCAGTGCAGACAGGCATAAGAAATGCTACTGAAAATCAAAAAATTCTGTTGAGGATTTAGTAATGTAGGTATCCAGAACGGAAGGTATCCAATCACCCAATTGGTGGTTTTTGTTCACACACAGAGTATTTTAGAATTTTTTGTTGTGAAAACATTAATTCTTTCAGTTCTGAGCAATACTAACGTGAAATATTAGAAGTTATCATATGTTAAATACTATCTTGTTACTTCATTTGCCACTGAACTGTATTTTGTTATGCAGGCAGGGATCTTAAGGGGAACACAGGCTATACAGTTCTATACAGACTTTTTGTAAGCAGCAGCAAAAAGTAACTTAACCTAAGCAGTGACAAAACAGAAGCATAATAACCATCAGTATTTTAAAAGAAATTATAGTGATGGCAGAGAAACAGTAGCTCCACACAGAGTAAGCTTCAGCCGTACCCAACTTCAGCTACAACTAAGTCTGATGCCAGTAACTCTTGTTCCAAGTAATCCCCATTAGTTATTTTGAGTTAGTCTCTTTTGGGTAACAATTAAACATGCCACAGGACGCTTGCTACATAGTTGGTTTCGGAAAGTTAGGATTATTTGCACTGCAAAGAGAAAAATTCCCATGTCATATATACACACCAGCTGAACTGATTATCAAGAACACATTTACCTAAGACCACCCTTCCTAGTCTATTCTAGGAGTCAGAGGTCTTCATTGATAAGATATCGTTGTGAAAACTCTTTCTGCAACTGTCATTATTTACCATAAAGCTGGTCTATGCTGAAGAAAAAGAAACGCATTTACAGACTATAGCAGCTCCACTGAACTGTCCACAACAGTCAGAGCTCCCACATGCATTTACAGACTAGCAGCTCCGGTGTGAGACAGCCCTGAAATGGTCTCCGACACTGAACTGTCCACAACAGTCAGAGCTCCCACATCAGTTATGCTGCAGGACATCTGTATTTGTTTTTCAAGGAAATGCCGTCTATCCCAGACTAAAAGGGAGCTCAGTTCCTCTGCGATCAGAGCAGATCCCACGGGAGCTCAGCTCTGCTCAGCTCCTGTGGGATTCACCATCCTGGCCGGTCCCTTTGCACAGGCACGCCGTTGGCCTCACCTATGCCAAGTCAGTTTTCCCTAGAAAAAAAAAATAAAAATCACTTTTGGCTCTTCCTGCATACGCAGCTGATAACTGGGAAAACTTGTTATTGTTCCTCTACCGACCTTTTCTGGGTGAGCGCTCGGGTTTTGAGAACACAGCAGGCAGCGTGCTAAGGGGCGGCTTCTGCAGCTGCCGGCTCAAGCGCGGACGCCTCGGCT